AGTAACTAATCTTTTAGAAAATAAAAACCTAATTTTACTAGATTATTAACGAAAATTAGTAGCTGCGTAATCGAGGGATTTGTAATTCCTAATTACGGCTCCTATGTAATCAATATTCAAATTTGGATTGGACTCCTGACTCATGGGAATCCGCAAAATGACTCATACTCCATTTCTACATTTCTTGTAAAAATTGAAAATTATCACCTTGAGCAGATGCGCAACGAAGTAATTCTAATAAAGGTTTTGCTTTTTTTTTTTTTAATATGGGAAAAATTATCCCCAAATATTCGTAGCAAATCAGATCTTAAATATTTTTAAATAACGTCTTCTATTCTAGCGTATACTATTTGCTATTAATACTAACTGAAATATTAGACAAAGGCCCAGTTCATAACAACCCTTTTTTAAAAGTGCAATTTATTAAATCCTATTTCAATTTTATTGTTTGAAACATGTTTTGTTAGTACTTTGCTGTCTAGTAATTTGTTACTGGCAAACAAAATAGCTCAAACCCCAACGTCAAAATACGACACTTTTCGGTAACAAAGTTACCTTCTTCAGGGACGTATTTTGGCGTTGGGGTTTGAGCTATTTTGTTTGTTCTACAAGTTTTTCCAGTCTTTATATTTGCTACTGGTAACTTTTAAGATAAAATAACATTAGTCTTATAATATTAGTTACCTTTTTTTATTTTAGGAGTTTTGATATGATAATTAATATTAATTACTTAAAATATTAAGCGGTACCTATAAAACAGACCACCTTTATTAAAATAATTTAAAAAATTGATACTCACATTATTTCTCTTTAAAAATCAACTTCAGACTAACGAAGAAAATGTTTTGTTAGGTGTACTCTTTAAGTAAAAACGTATGTATATATTTACAAATGATTATGTAATGGCTACTGTATCCTTCTGAGGACATCCTTTAAATAATTACTTTAATTATAAAAGATTATAGCACCTTTTTAATACACCTTCTTACGCTCGTAAGCTCCTTTTCGCAATATTTCACGTTTACAATAGAATTGTCCTTCATGCCTTCGCTTATAATAATTGATTTGATGGTACATACTTTCTTTTGCATAAATATCAAATAAATATTGCATAAGTAGCAGTGTGCTAAGTTTTGAGTGTTTTATTATTATATATGCAAATAAACACAATTGTGTTATATACAACTACTTATAATACCTACATAAAAAAATGGGCATACAGGGTGATGTTAAGTGGCCTAAAGACTAATAAAATATACACTAGTGGATAATTGAGAATCGAATATAAGGATATCCTAAGTATACCTATAAATCCAATAAATGCAAATTAAAGCTTTTGAGAGATGCTATGCTTCGTTCAAAAAATTTTGAGATTTCGTTTAGACTAAGACAGCTTTCAGGGAAACATGTGATGTTTTCGGATAGACGTCGTTATTATACATTTCTACAANGCCCTTCTAGCCTTCGTACATTTCCGCACATAAAAAAAAAATCCAAGAAAAAAATGTGTAATTTCTATGCTCGATGAACAATTTGCCTTACCTGTATACATATTATTTTCTAGACAAACGTCAAATTTAACATTGTAGGTTTTAATTTTGTTTTTCGAATAGTTTTAGCACTAATGTTTAAGAATATTTATATGTATAGCGTAATAAAAAGCTGAAAGGTAAACATTAAAATATCTCTACGGCATTGGTGAAACTGTTTACTTTTTTACTTCTGAAATAAACTAAAACATAGGGGAACGCAAAAAAGTCGGTTTTTTAAACAAATTTATGTTCTACATATTTTATTATCACAATAAATAATCAACTGCGCTCAATGGCGCCCCTAATAACGTCAAAGACATGAAATTGGCGTTAGTGGAAGAGTGCGACAACTTACCTCAAGAAATTATGGATAGCGTAATTCAAAGCATGCTCTAATTAGAGCCCGCGGCAGCTATTCCAGGTATTAGAGTTTTTTTTTGTGTTTGTTGAAAAATTATACAGTTCTAAGTTTTAAAGAAAAAAAAGTCAATTTCCACTTTTGTAATTTTGGTTTAATTATTCAAAAAGAAATGTTGTATAAGTTACATTAGGATTTGTTTCAGATAGTTTGAGCGCAACTGATTATTGTAATAATAAACATAAACTTGTTTAAAAAACCGACCTTTTTTTGCGTTCCCCTAATTGTGCTGGTATGTGTAGTAGACGACAAGGTAAAACGTTCACTTTTTTTTTCTTTTTTGCAATTCTCCATCTTTTGAACAAGGCTTCTCAAAAACATTACATTATCATTTATACGAAAAAATGACTGAAGGTCGTATTTTCCAAAAGACACTGGTGATTCCATTTTTTTGTAATAGAAATTCCCATATAGTCCAGTCAAACAAGCAAAATATGACTTGATTTTTCCGTTACGGCGNATTAATTTAGAATGACATTTTCAGTGGAAAATTGAATTAGAACAGATCTTAGAAGTAGCTGTTAGTGATTCTGAATTATGGGTTGCAATGCTTGCAGAAGCTTTAAAAACATATCCGTCTACTGGTGCATTAAATACAGAAATTTCGGATCTATATGAAGTGAGGCCTATTTTTACAGATTTAGTTAATGATCTTCGTCGATTAGTAAAGAAACAAGCTGATCAAGTTATGCTTCCTATGGAATAAACCTTATAACTTTTTAATTTTTAATAGTAAGTTAAAAAAAATATCAGCTCAAAAAATGGCTCGAGAACATTAAGTTATGAAAGAGGGGGTAACTTACGATTAAAAAATTAAAAGTTATATGGTTTTATACGTCAAGTATATAAACGTGCTGCCAAAGAAATATTGTTACAATATCGGTCCAAATCAATATTTTTTAAAAAATTCTAGCGGAATATTAAATCTAAATAGTTTTTCAAATTTTTGGCTTGGTTTCAGTAGGAAAAAATATTTACAAAAAATACCGCATTTACAATTAAGCAAAAAAAAAAACCGTTCGATGGCTTATTATTTACTTATTATTACTTTCTAACAACATTACATAAAAACGATTTTAGCCTGAAATGAATCCCCTGAAGATGTTATCTATTAAGCATGGCGAAACGTTTGCAGTTAGGGAAAGTAGAAACATCTATAAAGTCATTTCCTCAATATGATTTTCGCAGTAGGATATTCTGAGTTATGACGTTAAATAAAATGATAACTGAACAACAATAATAATCAATAAATAGCTCAAAATTATAGACATAAAATGTCACCAGCCTAGAAAATTATACGAAACAAATAATGACAAAAAAAAAAGAAAATAAACTAACTCAAAAATTTAAAACCCTACAAACTCACGAGTAACGTGAATGTTTACTTATTAAGTATATTATCGACCTATCATCAATTTTTTGTCGATTACAATAATCTTCTACGCGTATATAAATCAGACTATGAAATTAAAATTATAAACAGATATATTACAATTTATAAGTTTCACATTAAATTGTTTGGGTATGTTATTATCGTCATGTTTTTTTTTATAAATATTTGATTTAATTTATATACACTTTTCTTCGAAAGATTTTTAAATTTAAAATACTGTTTTAAAAATTAACTGTAATTGGTATGGTACTTATCGTTAGTAACTTACCTTATGTTGAATGTTGATTGTTCTTAGCGGTAGCACGCGCAGGTACTTCTAATTTTTGTTTGTGAAGTTAAGTGAATTTTATAGTGTCGTGATCATACTTATAGGGATAACATCCTTCGAACTGTTTAGCAATGTAATTAATATGGTATGTACAAATAATGGTTCATCATTGAAATGTCTTTATGTGTAGATACGCCAATGACGCTACCGTATACCATTAGTGTGTACAAACATCAAAGTAATTATAATTTGCTACAGCTAATTTAATAAGACAAAAAATTAATCTTTTCGCGATGTTCCTTATGAGCTATGAATTTTTAATGTACTATCCTTGATTACAATAGAACGTGTGTCAACAAACAACTTTATATGTACTTATACGTAAATTTATAAAAAAAAATGTGTGATATCGTCATGGACCACGGAATTCGGAATAATATAATGACAGAGTACAAACTAGACTGGATGGGGGCTATACGGGGATAGGGGTACGATGTGCCTAAATTCTATTGGCTACTCGTACAGAGCACGCATTCTTAGTAAATCATTTAAGGTGTAACCATGAATATATTATGCTTGTTTTTGGGCGGATTGAAGATCACCTTTCCTCTTGTCATCTATAATCACACGTCCCTATATTATTCATTGGATTTCAATAATTTCTATGAAGATAAATTTGAATTTCACTAATTTTATAAAATTATAACACGCATTATATTGATACTTGAAACTTGCTATTTTGCATGACGTCACTCAATTTTTTTTGCTTTGACCACATCATTTCTTCAACTACATCGCTATTCGTGTGATAATAATATGTTGCTCTTTCTTTTAGAAACTTACTTTCCTTTATGATGCTAAAGTGTTACGTCACTTAAAAAGGAAACTGTTTCACAAGGTTTTATTATATTTAATTTGTGGAAGAGTTCATAAGTAAGTTAAAAACACCCTGTATAATATGTTCTAGGGTTTTCTAGTTTTTGTATATTGGTGTCACTTAACATTTAGATATGAGTTGGCCATAATGCTCATGCAACAAATATTTTGACAGGACAATTGACAAAAACAAAAATATGTAAAATGGCGAATGTACGTGACAGCGATACTTCGTTGTGGCTACATAATAAATTAGGAACATCAAATGATTCATGGACAGGTGGTTCAATATGTTCGCAATTAAATGCAGAAGTGTTAAGAAACATCAAAGATTGTTTTCCGGACCTTCAAACTCAAGTGAAGTTGAAACTTCTCTTGAGTTTCTTCCACATCCCGCGCAGAAATACAGAGGAAGTAAGTGTTTACAGCAGTCTGCTTATATTTTTGTCAAATTAACAATAATACAAAATTTGTTGTATTAATGAAAAATGATTTTTTATTAATTTAGAATGACATTTTCAGTGGAAAATTGAATTAGAACAGATCTTAGAAGTAGCTGTTAGTGATTCTGAATTATGGGTTGCAATGCTTGCAGAAGCTTTAAAAACATATCCGTCTACTGGTGCATTAAATACAGAAATTTCGGATCTATATGAAGTGAGGCCTATTTTTACAGATTTAGTTAATGATCTTCGTCGATTAGTAAAGAAACAAGCTGATCAAGTTATGCTTCCTATGGAATGCCATTATGTAAATAAAGCAGCTTTAGTGTCTATTGTAAGTATCAGAACGCACATTATCTTTTTACTTTCATTTTATCAACATAGTATTTATCTTTTGTTAGGTAGGTCAGCAACCAATCCCAGCTAAACATTTTAATTTAAAACGAAAGCCAAAATCTGCACTTATAAGGCAGGAATTATTACAAAAATCAACAGATGCAGCTTCAAATCTCAAAAAGTCTTCAGCGCCTGTTATTCCTGTTCGATCAAGAGGAATGCCCAGAAAAATGACAGATACAAGTATTATTCTATTTTGTAATAATTTGTGGTTTAAAATCAAAACTAAATTGATTTTTAGCACCACTGAAAGGAATTCCTAGTAGAGTCCCCACATCTGGATTTGGACGAACAGGTTTAAGTAATAATACACCCAACAGACCACAATTATCGAGGACTACAGCTGGACGAAAAGAAGGTGGTGTAAAACTTTTAGATATTGCAGATCAACCTTTAGGTTATGCTGCTGCTAAAAAGAGAAAGAAGATGCAAGGTAATTTTGACAAGTAAAATTTTGTAAGCCTTAACATTATTAGGAATAGATGTTTTTATCTGAATGAAATGTAAACAAAACTAATACTCGCTACAATCACACCATTATTTTCTAGAAATGGAAGATGCCAAGAAGGCAAGTGAAAATGCAAATATTCATAGTCCACCTCCTGCAGCAGGTACAACTCCAGACTATGCTGCTGGTTTATCAGCTACTCCAACATATGCACCTGCTACACCTGCCCCTCCTGTAACAACTATTGGTATGTTACTAAATACAATTTCTTTTTCTTATTAGTTCTAGTATGCATACATTTAAATTTTAACTTTTGTATAATTTTCTTCATTTTTTAGTACTCATTAACGTTATGTCAACATTAATAGGTAAATTATTATCATCTGGGTGGGTAATTGTAATTTTATTAAATTAACAAACCATCATTGAGGTATTGTCAAGGTAACACACCTTTTTTTACTTACATAATTACATCACACAAAAAATATTTCTGAGTCGCGTAAAAACATCCGGCATTTGGTGTACTTCATTTGCAGCGACCATATCGTTTAAATCATCGACGTTTTATACACACGCTGTTTCATCAAACCCCCTACAAAGAAGTCCAGGGGATTTAGATCAGGTCTACTTTCCAGTCTAGATACAGGACCCGTACGTCTTATCCAGCGTCTAGGAAACTGTTCGTCAATGCAATAGTATTCTACACTGACCTATGACACCGACATACAAGACAATTTCTTTTAAGTTATTTTAGGAGTAGTTGAGGATTTTAAAACCCTAACCGAAATGAAATAATTGCTTTTACTTCTAAGTTTAAATTTAATTTTTTTCTGAATGTGTTTAACTTATTGTTTTTTTTTTAGTACCGACTCCGTTATCAACCACCACAACGGTAACTCAACCGGTAATACAAACCGTGACGTCAACGGTAACGGCAGCTCAAGTTCCGGTTACGGACGTCGTACATACCACAACTGCTGCTGTTGTTGCATCCACAACCACTGTACCTGCTCTTGCGACAGCACAGTTCGTGACGCCGTCAACTCTTCGGCCGGTGCCACCTTTGATAACAACGGCGGCTGCAGGCCAACGGGCCACTGTTGTTACGGAGCAACCGGCCACTGCCGTACCGGTCGGTACTCCTGTAGTTTTATCCACGCGTCCAGTACAGCAAGTTACACAAATTCGGATACAACCGCAACCCACCAATACATTACAAAGGAGGGGGTTGGCACTTACAGTAAGTAGATGTGATGTTAAGGTTAATGCAATTACTTTGAAACGAAAGTTAGTAAAAATTCTTCTTGATTACTATGCGTCAAAAATTGAACTACAGCATTTATTGTAAAACACTTTCATATAAGGGACAGCCACTTGAATAATGGAAATGTTTCACTATTTAATTTATTGTACTCAAGAGTATGGTTTCTATTTATGCGATCAGTATCAAGAGTATATGCTTATTACTGAACTTTAGTAATGAAATAATAGTAAATAATAATAGTAAATTAAGTGGTGAAACTTTTTCATTATTTTATTCAAAAAATTGAACTTTTCCTTTTAAAATTTTAATTTAAAAAACTGTTAAATGTGAAGGATATGGAACCAAAGGAAATTATACTCGATAGGTCAAAGACTAGGGTGGTAAAAATTCATTGAATTTCAGTAGGTGGCTAAAGAAATTTGAGAGGAAGAAAACGATAAAATTTGGCTTACACCCTGATGATAGATCATTCTGATAAGCAAATTTAATAAAAAACAAACAAATTAGCTAATCAGCGCATTTATCTTCAGTCTTAAAAATCTTCCATCAAAATTGTTAATTAAAAATCGCGAATTTTGGCACTTTTCATTTCAAAGCAAAGATTTATATACTAAACTATTAGGATGTCACACATTCCTATACTCTTTATACTTTGTATGTATAAGGGGGGAGGGTCTTACGGATGACATACTTGAAGGATACGAAATTTAGAATAGGAATGTAACATCTTTGTAGTCTACTTATGTACTTCTTTGTGGTACACTTCCTTGTGCTAACAAAAATCCATTATGATTTTACACATGAATGCCTCAAATATTAGCAAACTAATGGCTAACCCTAAAAAACGACCGTAAAAAATTCGATGTACTTAGTCAATTCTTTAAAAGCTCTATAAATAATTTTACATAATTTAATTATTAAGCGGAATTTTTGTATTACTGAAACAGTTGTATGGGACTTGTTGTTTACGATGTTTATTTTATACTACGTATTTTTTTATCGAATAAGAATTTTATGCGTATAAATCTGTTTGATTGGTTTCTTTTAGTTTTCATTTCTAAATTTTATTTGAAGCTAAATATTGAGTTATCTCAAAATTACCGTTCATCTAATGTTTTATGTGAATAATTTTACATATGATGGTGATTTAATATTTACTTGTATATTAATTTTATTTTTAACATTTAACATTACAGAGAGAACAAATGTTGGAGGCTCAAGACATGTTTAGGACTGCAAATAAAGTTACGCGGCCCGAGAAAGCTCTCATTCTCGGTTTCATGGCAGGCTCGCGAGATAATCCGTGTCCCCATCTCGGTAATATTGTGACAATCAAATTGTCAGAAGACCAAGAGAACGTACTACAATCCGACGATACATATTTGACAATGTTAGTAGAAACACACTTCCAAATGAACTATAATAATGGCGAATGGAAACGAATAAAAAAGTATAGGCACATCGAAAATGTACAAAGTAATCAAATGGCTCAGAACGTACCGACGGCCACGATTGTATGATAAGAGGCGTGATTCATCAAAGAAATATGATGGAAAAAATAGGTTACTCCACATAGTATTTATTGGATGTTTTTTCAAGCGAAAGCGATAGGAAAAGTTTTTAGTTTTGAACTTTTTTAGACATATTTGATTAAAGGAGGCTATGCTTTTGATTAAAAAAAATATGTTAGATGTCGGGATATAGTGCCAACGTTTCATGGCTGTGGCTGCTTCATTTAAAATACGATAAACGGAAATTTTTGTATGTTATTTTTCTCCATTGACTTCGTATTTTTTCTTATTTCATTGGTTAATTTATTTTTAAATAGTAATATCACTACAAAAACACATTGGGAATAATTCACAAGCTTTGTTAATTTTTTTTCTTTACAAATTCATTTCGGCCACTAGACTATTTTCTAAGATACAGAAATGTGTGTACGAATGCCGACTTTTTTATCAACCTCTATAAATAAATGTCAAGTGAATATAAATAAATTATTAATAGTTATGTATACTTGTGGTTACTTTTCGATAAAATCATTTTAAAGATTGAGGAATTTGTCATACACGTGGACTAGCTTTCTAATACCCTCTTAATAAAATGTTGCTGTTAATGAATTTAAATTAGTTTCATCGTTCTGAAGTTCCCCGTTAGTTTGAAAGCGGGAAAAATAAGGAAAAGATGTATGCTAATTTTTATAATTGTTCATTGGGTTGCACCAGCATTGTGATTACGTACGTTATCATGAATCAGAACAATTCTAGAAGTTAGAATGCCTTTCTTTGTTATGAATGACTTCCTACCAAGCTCCGGATGATTTCTCGCTTGCAAACCAACAAGGTGCTTCAACAATATCAAGACCCGTTTAAATTCATTGGTGACAACATTGGCTGTTGGAAAGTTTGTCCAAAATGTCTCAATCGTCAACGTGATTATGTTCACTTGATTTATTTATGGCCCATCGGAGATTGAAAAAAAAAAGCGGTCCTCGTACTGCTTATCACTATATTTTCGATTTCATTTTATTTTATGTTTTTTTGTTTTATAATTAATGCAAGACCACGAAACATTGTCATTTCTTACATCCAACGTGATTCGAGAGTTTTAATGACGACATTGGCCACGAAAGATCTCACATGTTTTAAGAATGTTTAAATAAAACGTCTGCCATTTTTGTTCATTATAACAAATGCGATGTAATCGTTATTTGTTCTTGTACGTTTTTTATTAAAATATTTATTGATAAACTTTTTAACTTTGTCACAGTGCAAATAGGATTACAAAAGGGATATTAATTTAATTAAAGATACATACTAAAGCTATAAAATATATTGAAAATCAAAGTAAATGTCCAAAACTAGTGTATACATGGAAATGCTTGATGCTAACGAAATGAAGTTACATCGTAATGTCTTTGTAACGAAACTCTTCATTACTGAAAAGTTCTTACAACGTAACGTTATTTGAGCTTGGTTGATTTGCTTTATAGCCCATGTACGGATTATTATAATCAAACGGTAATTTTCTGTAAGAAAACAATAAGTTGCAGTGAATATGAGCGATAAAGTAGAACCTTTGTATGTAGATGAGAAGATTTGCTTCAATACCTTAAAATACAGCTACAAAATGGAAGTAAAACGTGACATTAGGAGACAGAGTTATTCTTCCGCACAAACAGAGCTTACAGTGCTCTGCACTGTTTGGGACATTGTTCAGAGTTGTGAGCTCTGCCCCAACAAATTCTAACGTAATACAGACGATCAACGTGCTAGTATTCATAGCACCTATCAGTATAAAGGCGCAAGAATAAAAAACAAATGCATTCGTTCCATTTATTGTAAATGCGTTGTTTATAGTGGTTTTTTTCACGGCAGTAAAAGAAAAATGACTACGACAACACTTACTTCGTTAGTTTTTTGTTGTTTTTTCCCACTGTAACCTTATGATCCTAGGCAATCCACACAGTCGCCGGTTCAGAAAAAGAAGCTGCTTATTAGAATTTTAATGTCTGTATACCGGAAGTTGCAAAGGAAAAATTGATCGCCTACGTTGCTTGGGGATTGTTAGGGCAAGACCCTCAACTGCGATAAAAGTACCGAGTGATGCATCGTATGCTATGCTCTGTATTGTGCGGGAAAATGGCTGTGTAACCTAGTCTTTTAAACTTCATATAACGAACTAAAATTATTGGTCCCTTGAGTTTTGTTATAAAGAGTTTACATTGTATTTTAAAACTGAGAATCTTGCAAAATTTGAGCAAAGATTTTAATTCCCAAAATAAATAGAAACTATTATACTATCGGTGATATTGAAACGTGTTTTTAAAGTCATTTTAAACAGCACCTAAGTTTTCAAAAGAAATTTTATTAAAACATTAATTTGCAGTTTTTTTCATTTCAAAGTAGTTTTTGATGTAAATTAGCTAGCCTTTTTTATAACGAATGTTTGTACATTGATATTTGGTTAATTTAAATGTTATAATTAAGCGAACGTTAATGTTAATAAAAGTATATATTANACATTAATTTCAATATAAGGTTAGGTTTTTAATTTGTTGTGACATTTACTTATTTTTGACAAGTTGACTAAAACGTATGTGTATTGAATATAACAATAACGAATAATAAATTTTATTCAGCTTCAAAAAAATGGTAACATTTGATCATTACTTTTGCAAAATAATTAAACTGGTTATTTCAACTGCATTATTTTAGAGGGCTAAGAAAGTGTTTGATCCATCTGACAACAATATTCCCAGAAAAAGAGGAAGACCTACTGGGTCAATAAATAAAACCGTTGACAGACATTCTAAACATACTTCTAGCACTGAATTAAGACCCGATTCCCGAATGGGTAATATCAGAGAACAAGGAGGTGTATGTTCAGTTTGTCATAACAATGCAAGAGTATCAAATGATAGGTTTGTTTCATGTCGAGAGTGTAGTAACAAAGGTACGCAAAACTATTGTCATGTAAATGTTTTATTACGTTTTCCAAAATTGTGTTTTAGCTCATTTTAGCTGTTTAAATGGTGATGACAATATGATGTTACGAATGTATCCTGATAATACTTGGCAATGTCCACACTGTAAAACATGCGTTATTTGTTTTGAAACATCTGATGCAGTACGTAAATAATACTTTTTGATTTTGTTAGACCATTTGTTATGTTGTCTGTTATTTTAATTGCTCTATTGAATTATAGGGCAGTTTGATCGTTTGTTCAATTTGTGCTGATGCTTATCATGCAACATGTCATCAACCAAGAATAACTGAAAAAATTAGAAATGGTATGAAGTGGCTCTGCATTAATTGTCAGATGCCAGAACAGTTGGCTATTAATGATATTCAGTCGCATGTTATTACTGGTGACAGGGACAAAATAATTATTAATGGTGAGTTGTAAAGATTATAAAGGCATGGTTAAGATTTCAGGGACCATTGTCTTAGTAGATTTTATTACATCAACTTCTTTGGGGTTTGCTATATTAATAAAATAAAGTAATATAGAGATCAAAATGGAATTTTGCAATAGTGTGTGACACACTCCTAATTACTTCTTCATAAAAATGTGGTAGTCAAAATAAAGACTAATTAAGTTTTCAGTAAATTACTCTACCAAATAAATAATAATACTGTTTTTTCTTTGCATTTTTAAGTTTAAATTTTTTGTAGGCATTCATCGAAAATCACCATCTCCGTCAGTTTCTGGAAATTCTTCTCCACTGTACAGATCATTACAACCGTCTCCAACACCTCCTACTTTAAGCCCTCAAGCTAATCGTAATGGTGAAATATCTCCTGATTTTAAAAGTAACCTTTCAGATTCACAAAGTCTAAAGGATTTGGATCTTGAAGAACACATTGATCCAACTATTCCAGATGCTACCAATTGGTCATATGAAGACGTGTACAATTATTTTGCTCGGTATTTTCCAAATGAAGCGAAAGTATTTAAGGACCAGGTAAGAAGGGATAGTAGAATTGCATTTTCTTTGTTTATTTGACTGAACCCGTAAAAGTAAAATTATTTTACTATTAAACAATTACAATGCACAAGACCTTTAAGTAATTCAACAAGCGGAAAAGTATGAAAATTAATAATGATAAAACAAAAATGTTGGTTGGTATGAGATGTAAAAATTGGTTAGAATTAATATAAAAATAGGAGACGAAAAACTAGAAGTTGTTATTTCGATATTTAGGAAGTCAGATAACACAGGATAGAAAAAATGTTAGAAACGTGTAACAAAGAATGGCACAGGGATCGGATCGTTTTCTTCTCAAGTTCGGTTAATTTGGAAATTCAGAATGATTATAGGCTGTATGGGTGTGAAACATGGACGGTGGGCGCTGCGAAAAAGAAAAAGTTAGAAATGTGTGAGATGTGTTATAGGATGTGAAATATACCGTGGATAGAAATGAGGAGGTATTAGAAAGAATAGAGGGCGTTACGGAAGTCGATGCGAGATAAGTTAGTAAGACATCTCCTCAGATGTGAAGGGTTAGTAAGAAGCATACTATATGCAGAAACTGGAGTTAAGAAGGGTAGAGGTAGACTTAGATTAAATTACTGTTCTTAAGTAGAAATGTAGTTTGTTCTAGTTTTCGAGAAATGCGAAGATTGGCTCAAAATAAGACCTTAAAAAAATACAGAAAATTATTTTTATGCCCTTTTAAAAAAATACAGGGTAAAACCAAAATAAATACGTAAATTTTCGAATCAGAAAATACATATGTAAGGCAATATAATTCATTAGTAAGCAAAAGTTCCTACTTCAAATAGTTGAGGCTAGGCTAGCCTTATTTAAGGTACGGAACATTAAAACTGATGTACGATTTGGGAACATCAATAATATAATTTTCTTTTAGACATTGAAATTTTAAGGGCACAATCAAAATATTTAATAGTTACATATTAACTTTTAGGAGATTGATGGTCATTCCCTGCTGCTTATGCGACGAATAGATGTACTCACAAGTTTAAAATTAAAGTTGGGTCCTGCATTGAAAATATATCGTCATGTTGTTAAATTACAACACAGACGGGATGATCCAAAATTGTACTGGTTGTAATTCATTTTTATTTGTGATACTGTTGCTTAGTTTTATTTCGGTACAGAAACAAAAAGTGTATTTTTTTCTTATTTATTTTTCGTTTAGTGCATAATTGTAAATTGTAAAAAATATATTTTTAAGGAATGTATGAATTTTAACCATTTAGAATAGAAATATAATTAATTTTTGATTGTCATGTTTTTAAAGCACCATCATATTTTCGGCTACGGCTAGATTAAAAATAAAATTTTCCATGTTGGGATGAAGTTTCTTCTCTCTTAATGATTCTATCGTTATCATGTTCATTCTGTCAGTTTTTAGAGTGACAAATTTTTGTAGATAATTAAATACGTCTTGCGTTTTTCTGAAGGCTTCTTCAGATATTTCTTGATCGGTAAACTCCTCTTTTTCTGCTAATTTCACTAATGATACAGCGATTTCCTTGTGTATTTTGCACATCGTGAATACGTCTAAAATATACCGCCAATTAAATTAATATTTCAACAATTACTTTTTTAATAAAAATGGAATTATTAAAATTTAACATTTTTAAACGGTTCTTTTTAATTGTTTATATGTCTTGTGTATCTTGTGATTCACTTCTGAAACAGATGAACTAGTATTCGAATAAAACGGTTTAGCAGTTTTCAAATTTTCTCATTCGTTTGAGTTTTTTTCATTACTTTTGTATTTCTCCGACTTTTGCATGAAATCAGAAGAAAATTTTATACAGAATTTGAAATTGAATCGTCACGTATTAACGAATTTTGAAAATTTCGCTTGGATCTAGTGTTATCACTGACAGAAATTAATATCGATGGTGCACAAAAAAGATATTGAACTACATAAAGGAATATACACTTTGTTGTATACAGTTAAATTTCTGCGCTCGAACCTCCTAAAATTCGAGCTTTGGAAAATTTCTATTTTACTGCCAAACTTAATTTTTCTTTTGAAGATATCGCTGTTGCATATATTACTGTTACTCACCGCTAATAATCCTTATAATCTCAGGTCACAATGTCAAACAATATAAATACATCGTTCGTGTTGTCTTTTCCTACTGTAATCTGATGCTGATTTTTCCGAAGAAAATTTATATAAATTCGAATGAAAGAGACAGTTTAGAATGTAAAACACACACTCGAATCATTACAACCGTCTCCAACACCTCCTACTTTAAGCCCTCAAGCTAATCGTAATGGTGAAATATCTCCTGATTTTAAAAGTAACCTTTCAGATTCACAAAGTCTAAAGGATTTGGATCTTGAAGAACACATTGATCCAACTATTCCAGATGCTACCAATTGGTCATATGAAGACGTGTACAATTATTTTGCTCGGTATTTTCCAAATGAAGCGAAAGTATTTAAGGACCAGGTAAGAAGGGATAGTAGAATTGCATTTTCTTTGTTTATTTGACTGAACCCGTAAAAGTAAAATTATTTTACTATTAAACAATTACAATGCACAAGACCTTTAAGTGTATAAGAAATTATTTAGATATAATAAATGTTTCTTAATGTTATCTAAAACTCAATAAACCTGTTCGATTTTATCGCACTTGCAAAGTTAAAGACTCTNCTACTACAGTCTTTGGTAATTCCAGTTAAGAAAAATGATTTTCCCTACAATAGAATTTGTCATATAATAAAAAAAAAAATAAATCAACAAAAATGTTACCTGTATTTTTTCCGGGTTGACAACATATGGAATGAGATATAATTCTGGTTTTCTATATTTCATTAACTGACTAAATAAATACAGGGCCTAAAAATTAAACATATCCTTTTGCTAAACAAAGTATTGTTAACCGCAGTTAGCGAAATAATGATAGGTAAAAAGAGAAGTAGCACACCAAGTTTTTTTTTTAATATTTTATGGGATTTTTTTATCAAAACTGTTACTACTTGCTATCTGCTCTCTTTCTTCAGTGATTATATTTTATAATGAAGTAACACTTCGACGAAAATTTTACAAATACTGCTGCCTTTTAAACAATAGCTCTTAATATTTAGTACCTATTTTGACTATTTTAGTTCTGAAGGACTATTATCTGCAATGTGTTTTTTGTTTATTTGATAATAGACGGGAAAACTCTCATTACATAAAGTAGTAAATATGTGAATGCAGGGCGAGTCACAAATCATGAATAAAAAAAAAATAAAGGGATGAAATGTAGCTCAACATTGTGGTAAATTATTTTCAAAATAATTAAAAGTAAACAAGTATGTACTTTGTTTTTGTAACATTGTTGTTACTAAACGCAACTAATTTCGATACCAGTATCATTCTTAAGGGATTTATATTTAATGAATACAATACAGGTAATAGAAGACTATTTACATGGTACGTAAACTGTTAATAAGAATTTGGCTAAAAGTAATATTGTTCCCACATAAATCTGTAATGTGTTTGTTCTTTAAGATAAATTTTTAATTGCTTCTTGCATATTTAATTTAATAGTAAGTTTTAAGGAACTGACTGTGATAGTTTTACTTGTACGTGCAAAATAATTTAATTTAATTATTTTCACTAAATTACTAATATCTGTGATAAAATGTACAAATGTAAATGTTTCCGATTTTCTGTTTAGAAAATTAAAGTGTTTTTTTATACAACCTGAAAATAATCTAATTTGACGGTTGAAACGTCGTATAGTAAATAATAAATAAAATAGATTACTCGGTTTTGACAAAATTAAATTTGATCTATCAAAAAACTAATTCTCAGCCTTTTACCATAATGTACATTACTTCAAGATTTTCCCGATTTTGGAAACGATGTTTACAAGTGATGTGTTTGGAAACATTAAAGTAACTTTCTTAAGTTTAAAGGATTTAAAATGAACTACCTGTCGGTCCTTTGTAAAAAAAACATTACAGTGTGAGCATGTTAATCTCTAAACTTTACTTTTATCAAAAATATTTGTTTTGAGTTTGGATTAAAAGATATATACATCAGAGAAAGAGTAAGCTTAATTTGAACTTTGATTTTACTAAGAGGATAAACATATGCTTGTTTGTATTGTATTTATTGCTTAAATTTTGAATCATTTTTTCTTCTTTTTAACATATGAGATTGATGGTGATTTGAGGAATTATTAGTAGTGTTACCCGTAAATGTTGATTTTCAGATGTTACATGTGATTTAAATTAAAGATGTCGGAAGCAATAGAAACTTATAAATCAACTGTAATTGATTCATTCAATGTAAATCGCTCGGAAACTATATATGCTATATCGAAACAGTATAGTTGCTCAGCTAAAATAAAGTTATAAAACCAAAGTACTTTGCTAGGTGCTTACATATTTATATTTATATTTTTACTACTATTACTATAGGATACGACAAATTAAAATCAACTGCTACTATTTGTGGGGCAGAGGTAACATTTTTTCAAATCTCGACAACACTGACTTTACAAGGGGTGGTATCATAAAAAGTATCCAGGGGCATCAGCAAGACTAAGGTGGTGGTGTATAGTTTCAGTGCAGTCACAATTACACTTTCAATTCTTTAACTTATTTGTGAATTTAAAGGTAAAGCGTTTTCTGTATAAGGTAGTTTCTCCACTTATTGTAAAAAATCTGTAGTTTTATTTATAAACGTTTTTTACTAAATTTATAAATTTTTCACTTTTTTCTTTAACACAACTGATACAATTAGCATAAAAACCTTAAAAGCCATGTGTTTTGTTGAATTAGGATGGTTTGGTGATGCTCATTAATTTTTTAATAAATATATTCATAAATATTATCTATAAATAAATAATGTGATTAATAATAATATTTAACTTACAGTTTGAACTTCCTCTATGTTTTTATGGTAAACAATAATACGTTTTTTAAGCAATAATCCAGTGTAAATTAGGATAATTTCTAAACCAAAATCCAGAACCAATTCTACAAATAAAAGTTATTCATTTGTACATTTTATTGACAGTCACCCACACAAGATTACTTTTGTGGTGTGACTTGTTTAGACTTAAGTATGTTATTTAATAAAAAATAAAACAATAATACTGTATAAACACAATTATTTTAAAAACAATAATTTGGATGAGTTTCCCTCATTAAAATAACAATAAAAATAATACAAATTATTGTATGTACAGTATCTAATCTATTCACTTACTTTTAAGACCACTTGAATTGGTTTCTGTATATAATTCAAAACAATCATTTTCTATAGTTGGTAAAAATCCCCCCTTTGTAATTATTTCTACAAAACTTTTCACTAATTCCACAGGATTTCTTGTAGAAATATATTTTTCCATAAAAAAAATACATGCACTGTAGTACTCTTTAAATCCAAAATCTTCGGTAATAAGAACTGAATGTAAATTTCCTGAGATCAGAATATATATCCACCTGTTGGAATGAGTAAAGTAAACAAATTTGTTTTTTGATGCCAATGGAAGTTTGGATTTTATAAATTCTCTTAAATCATTTGAAATTGACGGATACACCCATATAAACATATACTGACTTTGTATTTTTTCTAAAATATATAAAATGTAACTTCTTAAAATTAATTTAAAGTTAGCCTATACCAATAATATGAATCGAAATTACACTTCTAGATAATGAGTTTTTTGGAACCATTATAAAACGAATAAATCATAATTTTATGATTTAGGTACTGTAATATACATACACTCTGCCCGATAAATTCACAATTATTGGACCTTGAATTAGGTTGCTGTTATTTGATTGTTTTTATTAACGGTAAGATTTTAACATTCAAAAACAATCACTTGTATCACTGTTCAAATATGAATTTAGACTCGTTTTAATTAAACAAGTTCTCATGCAAAACATTTCTCGCGTGAAATTCGAATTCTTTTTTATAGTGCTTAATATTTTTCATATTTTTTAAATTTTTAATTAGTATATTTAAATATTTCTATAATCCATGATAGTGCGACCGCAATCATAGACAGACCATAAATAAAATTAAAATAATTTGAGTTGTGTATGTCATATCTTCAATCTATGATCTTAATCTATAACATTCATTAGGTGTATGATAGGGTTATGGTATGTCTATGGTCTATATACTTACGCTACACTCTTTTATCTATGACATTGTGTGAATGTTACTTGTTACCCTTTGTGCATCCTTTGTGTATCTATTATCTATGGTGAATGTACATTATTTTAATAGTGCAATCTTTTTGTTCATTCTTAAGTTAAAATTGAACAGTTTGATGAAATGGTAACTATTAAAAACCCAATAATAATTATTTATGTTCATTTGAAATGGATGCTTGTGTTGAAAGTGCAAATATCTTTAGAACAATGACAGAAATACCTGAAAAGCTCAACTTGTGAGTTGGGAAAAGCTTCTATGGCGTGTATTTGGTGTTAATAAATTAATTAAAAATGACATTACAAACTCTCAACGATTGTATCCCCGATCACCATAAAGAAACACATTTGTGCATTACTTTTTATCTGCTATCACATTATTTGCTATCTAGCCTAAGATAATTATATATTACTAAATATTGCTGATTGTTTAACAGGAACGTTACTAATGTGACCATTCACTGTTGTTACTCAAGACGGGAGATCGGTCAATTAGCAGATTATCAATGAAAAACAAAAAGCATTATACATACTTTGGACATCATGTGTCTGCATTTCATCCCATTAAGGAGCAGTATCTATAAAATCAAAAGGTTCGACAGAGTGGTAATTATTTTGATTTATTAATTACTTAATTTAAATTAGTTAANAGTATAAATAAACGTTGTAGTCAGTTGTAGTGTACCTATAGTATTCCCTTCAATGTGTATATATTGTCCACAGCATAAATTTAAAAAAAGCGTTGATAATGCCCACGTATTAAGTGGGCGAAACACGTGTCTGCTCAAAAAGTTTTATGGGTAATTAGGGGTGAGTCTTCTTTTTAATTAACTGTTTATAATACTTTAATATTGTATTAGGCATGTTTTTTAGTAAAGAGGCTAAATTAATCAAGTCTGAATACTCTCTCATAATATTTTATTTTACAACAGCATAAAAACTTGGGATCACATGTGATGAAATTTTAGTTTCTCTTTCTCTGTGCAAAGTAGCAGTACCAACAGTCCTGAGGAAAGAGTGAAGGTGCCTTTTGTCATTGGGAATGGAGACACTGTGTTATTGTTAAAGGAAAAATTTATGACATAAATTGGTAAGTAACATTTAAGAATAGTAGATGAGGTCCTACAAACCTCAATTTCTTAGAGATTTGTAACTTATTTTTAAAAGACAGATTTTAAACGTTTCGGAAATGTCAAAAGCAAAACAGCAGAATTAATGTGAAAATCCAGCAGTGTGAATCTTAGCATAATACATTTTAATTTGTTTTTTTGTAAAGTAATATAAATGACGTATATGTGACTAATTTGAGAGTGAAAAGAAGAGTCATAGGGATTAAATATCGTAGCAGCTGTTTATTTCCTTATGAATAAATGGTATTATCTGACAGAAATAGCTCGGCCCCTGCAATATGTAAATAATGTAATGTAAGCAATGGTCCATTAACACAATTGATATAATATTGTAGTGTGGATGGTTAGTTTGGTCATCGTGGTTTTGTGAAAACCACCATTATTATCAGAGAACAACTTTAAATCCGAAACTTCAACGATAGTTATAATTAACAATGATTTTCACCTAATTTTAGAGAGTAAAATACTTTCAAAAGTTATTAAAAAAACAAAATGCAAAATAGGTGAAACTACTACACGTAAAGTGCATTATTAGTTTTCCTGTAAATATTACAGATACAATTAAGACATCCTGAAGTGAGTTTACTTATACAATACAGGTCCGATTTGAAAACCAGCACACATACCCAGCGATAAACTGCATCTCTTTCCTTCGAATACCCTTTCATTGTATCTTACCCCGTTCTCTCGAAATACCAGGGGCCAAACTATTTCTGTTAAGTTGTACATTGTGTATATATTATTTTAGCAATCACCTTTAAAATAATATTGATTAAAAGTATTTAATTATTTTTTGTTTGTTTCTACAGATTGACTAACAAATAAGAAAGAGTAGGATGTTAATTTTGACCCTAGCGATGATGACATGGGATGTCTGACCTGGTACTCCTTCTCAATTTGATTTTCATTCCACAGTTAATTCAGGTAATAATGCATAGTTAAATTAATATTAATTACACTTTATTAATCTGGTGTCAATTTGGTTAACAAACAAACTAGAATATAATCATAGGATGACGAACATATGTTACTTCTTTGTATAATACCGTCAGCTTATTCAATTTTTTTCTAAAAGAGAACATCGATGTGCAGTTCCAATCCCCAATTTAGAAAGGTTTTTTGTTGAGTATTAATATTTTAAGCTGTTGATTTTGAAAGCCGAATCTTTAATAAATAAAGGAATTCAGGACTGCCACTGCAGTCTGACGCTCAGAATACTTTGCAGTGAAGTGAGTTGTCTATATTATATCAAAGACGAGCAGTCGTCAGCGGTATTTTAAATTCAAATTATCATAGTACAAAAGTGGCTGCTACGGTGTGAGTCGAAACTCGTAAGCATCTAAATGTTTAGGTTTAAATAAAATAATCTAATTTTATTTGGTACATAAGCGGTCTATGTATTACGATACTTACACTGTTAATGTAAATTATTTTTTTTCACTTTGTTTTGTATATGTATTTCTCTAATGTCTCGTGTATATTACATTTTTTTACGATTTCTGATAAAGAAAGTTACTTATAGTTAAAATTGCGGAAAAAAAACCGTTAGCTTTATTTGGGAAAATTGTGATGAGAGAAAAGAGATAGATGGTTCCTAATCAAAAATAGAGATTGATTAAGAAGAAAAGTAACGTGTTGATTTTTTTAGTTAGCGTATAGTAAGAACTAAGCAATGAATTTTTTATCTTCTGTCCAAAGATTGAGAAATTTGTAACAGTTATTTCTTTCGTAGGCATCTGAAGTCTACAATTTATTCCAGCATTTTTAAAAAGCACTGTATTTTTTAAAAAAATCCGTGTTTTCAAATTTAATTAAAAAACCCTTGTAAAAAATGGCACGCACTATTCGTTGTTACAAGAAAGGAATAAGTACCTGTGATTTTGAATTATGTCAAATGAAAATTTCCTAGCCTTATGGCAACGAAAGGCATTGTTTCACGGTTTTATAATTAAAACTTCCGTACGTTTCTGTATAGTCTACATGTAACAGCAATTCCACGAATAGTAGATATATTGAATTTCTTTGTAGTTGTAAAATTTCCTTATCTGCGAGTGTTTTCCTCGGTACACGTTTTTTTGGCGTTTACACCTTCTCAAGTTTCCTGAGACCAACTTCTTACTCCCGCCCTCCATCAGCCCAACCCCGAACCAGTAAATACTTTAATTTTTTTAGGGAACCACTACCTTTAGCTTTGTTATACCTGCGCATACAAATAACAGCACATATTATGTCTACCTGTTATATGGGACAAATTTGGACAAAAATTGACCGACACATTTTCGATTTGGCTGAAATTTTATTATTTACGGGTTTTGTATCGAATGAAAAAGAGAATCGTGTTTGCGATTTTTTTTTTCAATATTTGGGAAATAGAAGTGATCGAAAATTTAAGAAATTGGTGATTTTTGACATGAAGACTCATTTTCAAAAATTCATAACCCCGGCTCTATTTGAACTATAAACTTTTTTCATTTTAAAGCTAAAAAAACGAATTTCAATAAAAATTATTAATAAATCATGTTATAAACAAGTAAAATGTTTAAATCGGTTTTAAACAATTGCCCCCGCCATAATATAGTAACCATCATTTTTTGATATTATTTGAGAAGGAATACAGAATAATTATTTCAATGACGATACAAGACACGGAAATAAGGCGTGCAATGGAATCCGCACGCCAATTTAAAGTGCCGCACCGAATGAAAACTTCAAATTCTGACTAAAATCGACGGATCAGATGAATTCAAGTTTTAATAAATTTGTTTATCCTGTGATTTAATATTTTTTATGGTTTATTCTACATCAAAATCAGTAATAATTCGGAAACAGGATAATTAAACCACAGAAACCGTTTACTAATATACCGAAAACTTTTGTGTACAAATTTTTTATAAATAACAGTAAGGTACTTTTAACATTATACTGCAATTACATAGTTTCTTAATTTGATTCGTTTAATGTTTAAAACATTGAACTTTTTGTCCATTTGGTCGAATTTTATTGTACCACAGGAATGCCATAAACCCACAAGTCAACATTTTCGTGAAGTTATGTATGTTTTTATAATAGTTTACAATTAGACTATTTTTGTTTTGTTGGTCGTGTTCTTTTTTTATTTTTGTCAATGTGTACTTTAAGTTCCCTAGACCTAAAGTGAACACATTTTCATTGAGACAAAGCGGGACAAATGTGATGAAATGAGAATTACAATTTAGTTATATATATTTTATTGTATACATTCAGATACTTGTACAAAAATTTATTTATTATTAATTATTGGTAACTATAAATATATCTGTAAAAAAA